TTTTCTGAGTTTTGTGGCTCTAAGGCATGCATTGTGGATGGGAGCATTTGCTGCATCAGAACTTATATGGCAAATAACAAGAGTAACTCATCCATCCATCCATCCATCCATCCATCCATCCATCCATCCATCCATCCATCCATCCATCCATCCATCCATCCATCCATCCATCCATCCATCCATCCATCCATCCATCCATCCATCCATCCATCCATCCATCCATCCATCCATCCATCCATCCATCCATCCATCCATCCATCCATCCATCCATCCATCCATCCATCCATCCATCCATCCATCCATCCATCCATCCATCCATCCATCCATCCATTCGGGCGAGAGATGGGGTTCACCCTGGTCAGGTCGCCAGTCCATCACTGAGTAACCTTTTGGAGAAATTGAGAAAGTTATTTTGCTATTTGCTATTTTCATCATCTTTTTCTACATGCACATAAAAAATCATAAATGGAAATATGGTTACTGATATACACACATGATGCAGATGTTATGAGTATCACATGTGTGGAAAGAAAAGATGTTCTTTCTACACATAGACACCATTTATATGCTGTTTCTTTTGTATATTCATGAAAATTTATGTAACTTGAGGAGATTGTTAGACTCTGTTTTATGCAATCTTAAGAGTATATGAACAACAGTATATGTACTGTCCTGTTGTTGTTGTGTTTGTTAATGTAGAAGTTATAACATCCTCACCACACTTGTTTTCTGGCTTATATTTCAATGGATTTCAATAGACAACATCACCTTTCTGTGCACCTGGTGCTATAAGATGCTCCCACACCTTTATGTTTTTGTCTGTCAAAATAATCCACTTCAATATCACAACCATGCATACCCGCATATCACCATCACATCACACATCAGTTTGCTGATGAAATTGTGCTTATCCTCATGTTATGCATTGCACTTTGTCTTCTCTGAGGTAAGGCAAGGGAAGGCAAGGCAAGGCAAGGCAAGGACATTTTCAGCACCAAGGCAGTTCAAAAGGCTTTATATGAATTAAAGGAAATACAAAAAAAAAAAAAAAAAAAAAAAAAACAGAAGAAAGCAAAAGAAAAACAAAACAACCAAAGTACTTCATAATCATGAATTAGCAGATGTTTTTCTAAGGAACAAGAATAAGTACTCCACATTTTATAAAATAGTAGGAGCCTCTCTAGATGAACTAACAGGAGTTTCTCTAAATCTTTAGTTTGTTCTAACTAATAAGAATGAGTGGGACGAAATGACAGCATTGGAAAGGATATGACACATCTAGCGAGACAAGGCACAGACATGGAGCCAGCCAAAGGTGGTGAAAATCATGGTGTGTATCTGTTTGCTGTGAATGTGTAAGCATGTGTGTAACCACAAGCTGTATAGTTCTCTCCAGGCAACAGTTTCTGATGTGATGGTTTTATCTAAGAGCAAGTCCTTGGGGGTGTTCTGTTCCACAGTCATACGGATGTCTTCAGATGGCAGTGAGATGGAAAGAAATGTTGTTTACAAATCATCCAGGAGATTTGAAATAGGCAGCCACCCAAAGCTGACACATGGAAGCCAGTTCAGATACAGATAATATATTTAGATTGGGCAGACTTTAACATTTCAATCTGCCCTAAAGTCTCACTGGTACATCTCTGTTGATTTCAATCATCCAAATTAGTATAGTTCTTTCCACAGGGCCAAAACTAGCAACTTCTACTCTGATAGTGAGTCCTAGGGTCCACACCTGGCCTGCAAATTTCAGCAAGAATCACATCCAACTTGCACATCTGACCTACAGCATGTTAGTCTGGGTATTTGCTGGTTGGCCCAACCCATCACAAATTTGTCAATATGCCAGGTATCCATTAACTCCAAACAGCAATGAATCTTGTATTACACCTGGTATACCCCAGCAAGACAAGTGGACTCTCCTCTGCCCTCTCTTCTCATTGAGATTATTTGATCAATCGCATCGAGAGGCCAGTGGACCAGATCCATAATTTGTTGATTCGGTGGATGTGCAAAGAGAGCCTCCAAAAATGCAGCACAAAAGCATAAAAATAGAGCATGTAGGGTAAAGGTGGGCAGAGAAGGAGCAGAGGAAGCAAGCGTCCGCCTTCACTGAGAGCTAGGGAGCAGAACTCTGAGAAAAAAATAAACTCAACTTAGATCAAAGCTGCTGGAGATCCTGACAATTCAGTCACTTTTGGGCATTTGCTGAATATTGAACTATTTGTGTAGGACATTAAACATACATCTAAAAATTTTGTAAAATATGTAAATTTAACACTAAATGAGACTGTGCTCTCATTGCAAAAATAAAATTCCTTATTCTGACAAGGCAGAACACTGTAAATGTTTCACCTCTGATTATAATAAACATGCAATTACATGTTGTGCATCAAATGCATCAGTCTTTAAAAGACATGAATTTAAAGTTTTATGAAAAATTCCCTGAATTCTCTGCATTTAAATCAACATATGAAGCATTTTTGGACAGTGCAATATACAGTCCAAGACAAGATGATATATTTCTCAATTTTTGTGAAGTGATGAAGAAATTAACAAAGTATCATACCACATACAAACAAATACCTTCATAGCACAGATTTGCAACAGCACAATTTTTTTCCAGCAAATGACCTTCAGATCTTTCAGATCCACCATTTTACAAATCATAATAATTTCTAAGAAGATATGCTACTTTGTAATTTGTCTGTTGGTATTGTTCACAAAAAACATTGTATTTTAATTCTAGGATTCCTTAAAACAGAAAATACCAGGGAGTCGAATGAGGCGCTGAACAGAGAACATGAGATCGTTTATGCAGATTACTGAGGAGTCTGCTGTTTGTCTAGCAAGAATTTAAAACACACAAACAATACTGTGAAACTGATTTGAAAAAGGATAGTTTTTCTAATACAGTTTTAGGAACTAAAAGAAGAAACAAAATCATATAAAAGAAAGGAGAAACAAAATGTCTTCTGCAGGAGAGTTTGCCAATTGTAACCCTCATCACCCTCTGTGACTGCACCTTTAAATAGGTCAATGCACATGATGTAAATTGTAGCCTGAGAGATCACAGCCTTTTGAGACATGTCAATTCAGGATGGAGTAACCTAGGTATGTTTTCCTGCTGCATTCAGAATGTGACTCTGTTTTCAGATGAATATCTGTATTTCTATCTTCATCTAAATGGTGTAGTTGCAATCAATCAATCAATCAATCAAATTTTATTTGTATAGCACATTTCAGCAGCAAGTCATTTCAAAGTGCTTTACATCATAAACACAAAAACACAAAGTCATGCAAGATAGAATCAATAATCAAAAAACTACATTAAGTCAAGTGCCATAATAACGCAAATAAAACCTTTTCATTATGTAGGTACAATTGCTGCACTTTCAGCCAATAATCACTAAATTTGTAATTGATTATGTGTAAAATCCAACTCTAAACAGGTGCATTTGAAGTGTTGTTCAATTATTGACCATCAACATGACAATTGAATGAATATTGCTATAATTACAAGGCCTGGCCCCGAGAAGAGAAAGACTTTTGCTGCAGGAAATGGCCTTTGATTGTGCATTTTGAGATAACCAATCAGATGGTCCTGTAACCACTCCTCCTTCTGTCACTGGAATAAAACCTTGTGTTTCTGTGAAAACAGCTTAAAGATGAATCTGTTATGGCTCGGACTGATCCTCCTGCACCAAGGATGTAAGTTAGAAAACAAACAAAACCTCTGAATGTTTGTGAGCATACGAATTTGAACATATGTATCCTCATATTTTATCTTTTTCTGTAGATTGTGTCTTTTTTGGTTGTTCTGAATAGCAAACAATGTTTACATGTTTTATTCTTCATATTGCAGATGCCTTGGTTACAGTGAAGATCGTTCAGCTTGGAGACACTGTGACTTTGAAATGCTCTTTTCAAGAAGAAAAGCAGAGCAGCAGCAGTGAACTTCACTGGTACAAACAAACTGCAGGAAATACACTGGAATTGATTGTGAAGCTGATGGAAAATGTTGCACCTACTTATGGATCTGAATCTTTGGGCTCAAGATTGACTGCAACATATACAGCAAAAATTAGCAATCTGACAATTAGAATGACAACTGAAGGAGACGAAGGCATGTATCACTGCGCGGTGATTGATTGGAACAAGAACACTTGGCAAGGGACCTATTTGCTAATACAAGGTATTTTAACTATTAAAATTACTTCAACAAGACAAATGCTTAGAAATAAACACTTTTCTTTTGATCTATATAAATATTAAAAGACATCTTAATAGATAATCTAGCACAAGGTTATCTAAAACATGGTTTGTCACATTTGACATTTGAGCAACTTCTTTTAAATTTAAAGATAAACACCTAGCCATCAATCCTGAGTATGAATCCCTATGTAGAATAGATATATTGTTGGGTGAACTGTTGAAAATGATTAATTGTTTTACTTTACAAATGCACAAGCAAGTAAAATAAAGTGAGGAAGCAAAAAGTAAAAGTGGGCAGACTTTTACAGTATATAAACTGTTAAAAAATCCAGCTGAGGTTCTCAAAAGACCTCTAGCATCTCCCAGAGGTCAACTGAAAAGGGAGCTGAATGGATGAGAGTTATCATAACCTTTTCCAAGTCTTAGCATAAGTCAATGCCAAATTCATTAGGTAGAAGTAATCAAATGTAGCGATCCATCACAACAATTTATTTTATTTATTTTTTTAAAATTGTAATTTATGCTTACAGGAATATATTTAAGCTAAAAAGTATTTATAACCCTGACAGATTTGGGATTAAATTAATCACCTAATTTGACAAACATGTTTCTTTTCAATGAAAGTAATTTTCACATAGTGACAGCAAGTCTATTATTTGTTAAGTTTATAAAATTTTAATTCAAGTCTAATATATTTCCAACACATTTCAGTAGCAAAGAAGTTCAAAGAAGTTTACAGAATAAAAAAATATATCAAAATGAACAAATTAAAGAATATGTGTAACATGTCTAAACAACTTCAGTAAGTGATTGAGGAATTAATGATAATTCAGTCTAATTGTAAGTAGAGTTCAACTCAAGAAGTAACACTCAACCTGTTGAAAGAAAAAAGTATATTCTCAATATTGTTACCTACTAACCACATATTAAGGTATTACTCATAGTGCAAACAAAACTATCCCAACTCTAAACAGTTTGCTAAGACTTATCAAGACTTTTTTTTTTACATTTTTATAATTGTAGTGTCTAACAAAAAATTATCTTTTATTCAGGAAACACTGTGGTGTATTCACTTCAGTGAGATAAATATATACCACGATTTTGAACATTCGATCCTGCTGCATTTTTTTTCTTCTCCTAGTCATCCAAAATTAATTTACAGTGTCTAACAAAGAATTTTGCTATGTTTAGGAAACACTGTGTCGTCTTCAAGTTACACAGTTGTTCAGACGCCAACAATATCACATCCAGTTCATCCAGGAAGCCCAGTGACTCTTCAGTGTTCGGTCCTCTCTACCTCTGACAAGAAGAAATGTTCAGGAGACCTGAATTTGTTCTGGATAAGAGCTGGGAACAAATCTATTCCAAACATCATCTACACTGATGGAAATAGAGAAAACAAATGTGAAGAAAATTTGGACTCTCAGCAGAGATGTGTGTACAATGTCTCCAAAACGGTCAATGCATCTGATGGGACTTTCTACTGTGCTGTGGCCACATGTGGAGAGATATTTTTTGGGACTGGAACAAAATTGGATGTTGGTATGATTTTGGGTTTACATTTAATAACATTAATGTAAGCAAGTGAGGAAATTAGATAAACAATGTTTTTATTTTTTCCTCAGAAGTTAAAACTTTTTTGTGTGTGTCTTTCAATTATAGCTACATCTGAAGATGACTTTGTCATCCTGGTGGTAACAATTACCTGCTTGGCAATTTCTGTGATTATAAATATAGTTTTCTGCTGCCAAATCCCAAGAGCATCATGTAAACTTGTTAAAGGTAAGTGCTAAATGACACATTTCATAAAATAAGAGAAATGGAAATAAAAAAAGGCATTTCTTCAAGAAAGATTCTTAAATGGTTTTGGAGAATACTATAAATTAAAGTGACATAATCTAGTTAACATGTTTCTAGTTAGGCATTGTGTGAAAAAACATGCTTCTAGTGAAGCAGCTTGTACTGTTAAACTTCTTGTGTTAGTTAAGAAAAATCTAATTAAACTGTGGATGCTCTTCAAACTGTTGGGTTAAATACATGACCATATTTATCTTTTGTGGATACTCAGGGAAAGAAGAGTCCTGTTCTCGAGCAAAACAAACCACCCGGGGGGAGTCCAAAGATCTTGCTGTAAGTAAAAATGTAAAATCAGTTTAATTGTTGAGGTGTAATGAAATATTACCCACCCATCTGGTATGGCGATAACATTTTTGATAAATATTTCCTTTACTTGATAGAATGAAGAGGAACATGAATTAAACTATGCAGCGTTACGTTTCTCTGGAGCAAAAAGGATGAAAGGAACGCCAAAGAGAGAGATGAAGACTGACGAGAGTGTGTATTCACAAGTGAAACACTAAAATATAAATAAGTGGTGGTAATTTTTTCTGGGAGCAAAATCTCACAGAGGGAGTGAATAAAATGGTTTTTTCTCTTGTTGTTTTATGCCCTGAAGAATACAGTAAATGCATATGTTTGCCATTTACAGTACTTTCACAGAATTAAAAGTTTCGATCTTATTGTATTTTTTTAATCTTTAAAAAAAATTTCAGCCGGATATTTAGTTATAGATATGTTTGTTCTGTAATAAAACTGTAAAATAAGAAGAATAAAAGTTGATATGATGGTGGATAGATGGTAATTTTTAACAAACTAAATTCAGCTTTTCCACCTAGTTCACCTAGATAACACAGACCTTAAAAATACACTGAAACAACTCTGATTGTATTTCCACGAAAGTAGACAATCTGGAACCTTATATAAATGCAATAAGTAGTAACATACAATGTATCATTCTTCACTTTTTCAACATTTTGTCATATTAGCCTTACTACAATTTTTTTAAAATTAATCTATTTCCTTAGGGTTTTACTCACAAATTCACTTTATGAAAAGGTAGAAAATAGTTTTGAGTGATTTGTAAATTTATTAAAATTAGATAATCAAGAAATCACATTCATGTAGGTATTCACAGCCTTTCCTTCATGCGTGGCTGATCCACATTTAGCAGCCTCAAGTGTTTTTAAATGTGATACCATAAGCTTAGTCAGCTTATATTTATGCAATTTTGCTCATTCTTCTTGCAGTACATCTGCAGCTCCATCAGGTTGAATGGGATTGGTCTGTGCAGACATTTTATAACCTCTCCAAAGATCTGTTCAATCAGATATTCAGAGTGATTCTACACCCAATCCTTTGAGAGCCATGTGCTTTTTATTAGTAATGTTTCATCACTCATCTACTGGAGGGAACATGCTAGACAGGAACATGCAATCACTAACAGTTTTCAAATTTATTTAAACACAAGGTTATTAATTTAAACATTTCTTAATGTTAAATCAGTAAGAAATTAGTTGATTGCCTTGGATTAATTGATTATGGCGCATCGGTAGATGGATGGAAGTTTCATTTTGGCAAATTTGATTGAGAGCAAGAGGAGAAGCATCAGGATGTCAACAGTGAAGGAAGATGGATTTTTGTTGATATTTTCATAATTTTTATTTTTAACAAAGCATAAGAAAATGGAACCAGTCAACCCGGCACATTATTGATATTTATTTCAGTCTATGATTTTTTTGTAAGTTTTTGCAGCAGCACCCCCTTCAGATGCTGCCTCCCAATGCAAATGTATGTGGCCTATGTCAAGCACAAGTCCTGCTTATATGAGATACAGTTTCTTTTGCTGTCCAAAAATGAGGCTGAAGTTCCAAGTCTTCTTTCGTGGTTTTTGTATCGAGGTTACTTGTTTCACTTATCAACTTGTGTGCCGGTTGAGGGTGAAACCTTCGATCAGATACAGTAAGATGTGTTTCAATAATTGGTGCACGACTGGAGCTTCCACCACAAACACCTCCTTATTGTTGAATGCTAGCAGTGTGCTCTGACTCTTGAAGCACAGGGTGTGCAAAAGGAAGAAGTAGAATGGTGGGGAAGGGTCGTCATGAAGCTTCCACAGGAAACTGCACAGATAGCCTGGCCATGTCAGGTTAAACCAGAGTTCTATTTTCATCATGTTCCAGTGTTGTGTCATTGTGGTTTAGCAAAACTCCAATGTATGGCAACAACTGTTCCAACTGCACCACGCCTGGGGTGACATTATGTCCAGGTTGAGGACAGAGAGAATAGTTTGAAAGAGGGGTGAAGGAAGCTATCTTTATCAAAAGAAAACAACACTGAACTCAGGGGCAAGGGTTGCAGTTTCAGGTTTCATGCATCTGCAAACCCTGGTTGGCAGTGGTGCACACTGTATTTACTTTTGAAAATGCTGAAGTATTAAAATGTACAAATCATATTTTCTAGTATCATAACACTGGTCTATTGTTTTTTGAGTTGTTTTACAGAAACATGTAACTTGCTGAAGCAACCTGATGATATTGTAGCAGAGTAGGACCACTCTGCTACAAATAGTCTACACAACAATTATTGGTTTGCTAACACCTAGCTGTTATCATTCTGGAGGTTGTTTTCATATGTCATTATTAAGATGAAAATTGTAAAGAAAACTTGTTTATCTGCTACCAATAAAAGCAAATATGCTGCATTCAATGCTGTTGTTCAGCATATGTGTGCTGTGCTCAACATCGATGTTTTATTAGCTTTTGTGACCCAAACAGAGAAATGTTGAAAGTACATTGATAAACTATTGTTTATTGTTCAGCAAAATGTTTGTTTTGCAAAAACCAATGCATGTGCTATTGGATTTACCTGTTGGAAACTTGAAGTAAGTTACAGATGTACATGTTTGTTTCTTTTGTAACTTTGGGTTTTAGAACAAATGAAGACATTAGGTAAGTATCATTTTGCAAAAACGATATTTAGGGGAGTATTTACTCCAACCACCACTGACCGTCAGATGCTCAGTGATCATCTTGCAAATCTTGAAATGCTTGATGATTGTACCAATCCCCTAAGGTTGTTGGAGGAGAGGCAGAGTGCACCCTGAACAGCTTGTCACTACATTAGAAGGCAACACAGAGACACACAGGACACGCAACTACAACTACAACACTTGCACATATACATAACGAAAATTTAGAGTAATCATTTGTGGTTTTGGTCTATTGGAGAAAGCTGGAGTAAGTAGAGAGATCCCAGGGATCCACCCGGACAACACACAAACTCCATGCAGAAAAAGTCTAAAAGTCAACAACCTTCTTATTTAATTAGTTCGACAAATTGTTAGTATTATTGACAATGAGTAAAAATATCTAAGGCATTGGTTTAGAAAATCTTCCTGAATTTGCTAGTCATCATGTTTTTGAGGTATCCTTGGCTCAGAGCTCAATGACGTGATAACGAAGCCATTTTGTCTGGTGTGTAGGAGCTGTAATAGATCTGTAACATGCAGACTGTCAAGCACTGAGGACCGCAGTTTATCACTCCTAATCAAATACAACATATTTTGTTCTAGTGATTGAGTTTGTTGTAGTGCATGTCCACCATGTCAATTTATAAAGCTGAAGAATATATGAATGAGCTATATTACTGGTTTGCTTAAGATGAGATAATATAGTGACACCCAATAATGTATAAATTTTATACAATGTCTTGGTGAATTTGCGATCATTAAAGTAAAAAAACCAAGACAAAGAACCAGAAGAGGGAAGAGCGATTGTGGCAACAAATGTTCTTTGACTAGATATTTAAAACAAAACAAAACAAAGACATCCTGGAACACCACACCTCCTTCTCTAACTTAGGCAAGAACAAGTCTGTCAAAGAAGGGAGTGTCAAGATGGTTCTTTTGTTGGTTACACTGCTTCTCCTTCCTCAGGGACGTAAGTTAAACCCGCATTCATTTAAACTTTTCATCTAGTTGAATTACTATTAGATTAATGACAGCTAATGTCTATATTTTACATATCTTTTGATGTTGTATGTTTTCTTTAACCTAATCTTACTTTTTATGATGTCATACTTATTTCCAAAATGCAGATATGTTGGTCCCAGTGAAAACAGTTCCCCTTGGTCAACCAGCAACTTTCACATGCCCATTTCCTGCTGATAAGCTGAGCAACAATGAAGTCCACTGGTACAAACAGAGTACAGGGGATACTCTTAAATTGATTGTGAAGCTGCGGAAGCATGCGGACCCTGCATTTGGGCAGGAATTTTCTTCCTTAAGAATGATTGCATCAAAAACTGAGACTGTTAGCAGACTGACAATACTGAAAACAGTTCCAGAAGATGAAGGAATGTATCACTGTGCTATCATCGAGTGGACAGAAAACCTTTGGCATGGGACCTATTTGTATTTCAAAGGTAATGTAGAAATAAAAGCAATTATAATTGTTGCTCTTTCAGCAACTTTGAACAATTCTGTCACTTATGATGAAATGTCACCTTTCTCAACAAGTTTATTATCAGAGTGAAGAGATATAATTTTACTTAGTGAGATCAGATAATCGCTCCCTATAACGCCACAATTCTATATGCTCACCTGTAATTGCTCTAAAAATATTGGGACAATCAGAATAAAAATTTATATTTAAATTGCATAATCCACAACCAAAACTAAGTAAGCAACTTCATCACTCTGTGAATAAAAATTTTAAATAATTAAAGCCACTCAAAGATCAAGAACTTAAGAAAAACAAGAGAGAGAAACTGTAGGTAAATAAGTCTTCAATTTTACTCTGTTCTTCATTTAATAAAAATTTTTTTAAAGATACTAAAAACGTTTACCTGACAATATGTGTCCAGAAGACTTCAGTGTATACTGGGTCAGAGCCAAATCATTCAACTTCATCCACACATCATTTACATAGATGGAAACAAACATGATGACTGCAATACGAGAAAGGACTCTCAGAGGAGATGTGCATTTTCTAAAAACATCAGATCCATCGACAACGCTACTTACTACTGCGCTGTGGCCACATGTGAAGAAATATTTACTGGAAACGGAACAAAAGCCAAAGTTCAAGGTAATTGCATATTTTGACATAAGATAATTTTATATTTTATGTATGATGTGTATTGGATCAGATAATGTGACAGTAACTGCAAAGGCAATTCGCTTTTGTAACTCAAGTTTCCCCCTCCTTAAATAATGATTTAGGGTTCAACTTGTGGTTCCAAGATACGGACAAAGTTATTCTTCCATTGTGTGCAGCTTTAGCTTTAAGTCTTATTTCAACAATTGTCCTGATAGTCTCCATTAGCACAAGCAAGTATAAGGACAACAAAGGTAGTACAAGTTAACAGTTTATTTGTGGGTAGAAGAGCATCAATCCTATTAATATATATTTTTGTTCCAATAAACAGCTGGGGTTGACCTACACAAGTACTGTGGTCGTGAGAAAAGACAACAGGTAACGTATTAAAATTTATATTTTAATGTCAATAGTACAATTTTGTGCAGTTATCTATTTTGATCAATCTTTTCTATTTTACAAGGGGGTTGAATATGGACAGATGTACTCTGTGGTTGTCTTCAGCATAAGGAACCTGGAAGTGGATCCCTGAAACAACCGTAGAGAGAGAAAGTTCACACGAATCAAAGATTTTGGATTTGAGATCTTTGATGTTGCCTGTAACTAAAAATTGAATAGATACTTGTTTGGATCATATTGCTTTTGTAAAATAAGCAGAACTGTGAATAAGATTTATTATATTTCATTTGTATGCTAAACACAGTGTGTTTAAGTTTTTTATTAAGATCTTTTGTCTTTGTAAGAAAATATTTAGTACAAGTTTTTTGTTTATCTTTTAATATGCCTACCTGGAGGATACTTGAAATGTTATGTTCTTCATTCAAATTATTGTCCAGGTCTTCATGTAATTTCTGTCTTTCTTTGCTACTCTAAATTCTTTCATGACCAAAATTATTTTTCTAAAAATAACAAATTAATGCAAACACAATTTTAACAACTGTGTTATGTATTTGTTTTCCATTTGTCATTTAATACATGTTTTGTCAAAAGATGTCAAAAAGAACATCTAGGAACTGATAAGATTCATGATCAAGATTTTGATCTTGAAACTATTTTCTTAAGAAAAACACAAGAAAAATGGTAGAACACTTAATTGGAAAATGTGAAAATGTCAATGTAACCTGATGCAATCAAGTAAAATTACTTGATTGTGCATTTACTAGGCAAACGAGTATCTTTAAAATATCTTTTGGGATATTTTTTTAACCCCAAGCTTAATAGATTTAAGCATAGCAGGTAAAGTGTATTTGTGAATGAGGAAGCATGTGGCCTGGGAGGTCAACATTTTATATCAGGGTGTACATAATTATTTTGCAGCCTCTTTTATTTAGGCAAAATGGTGCCAAAATGAAATCGAACTGATTCTGAAAAGTTAACAATTACCAAAATTATCTCAGACAGATTTGTCACTGTTGAAATTGCATGATCACAAAACCATCACATGTTTTGTGGCAAATAGTCTACAGGATTGCAAGAGAAGTGAACTCCAAAGGATTTGAGAAGTTTCAAGCATGAAGCATCCAGGAGCATGTTATCCTCCAGTTCCATCATATTCCATAACTACAATCTACCTGGAACACCAAGAAGTGGAAGATTTTCAGCCCAAAGAGACAATGCCAAGTTTAGGGAGGCTAAACTTGACCAACAATCCACATAAGACTTAAGCTGATTCGTCTAATCTGAACCAAGACATATCCGGAGAAAACTTTTTCAAAGGATTTTATGGATGAAATGAGAATAATTCTTACTAGACCAAATGAACGGCCTTCAGTTGAATCAACGGATATTACAGTGCTTCAGTCACCCCAGAGGTGAGGTGCTGGTATAGGCTGATAACCTTTCCAGGTGGAAGACTGGTTTGAAACCAACTCTCAAACTTACTGCCAGTTGTCAGAAGGCATTATCTTCAAGTAGTGGTACAGGAAGAAGTTTGCATCTTCCAAAAAGACAATGATTGTTTTGTATTCATCTAATTATTCATCTGCATGGTTTGTAGTAAAGGCTCCCTTACTGACCTGACCTGAACATGATTGAGAACTTGTGGGCAATGCTGAAGCAAGATATTTATAGTGAAGGAAAAAAGTCGACCTCTCTAAACTGTGGTTGCTGTTGCACAAAAAGTTGATTGTTAACAGAACGAGAAACTGACATGAATGGTGAAAAGAAGGGTGGCAATATTGGTCACTGATTTTTGCTTAAAATGTCAAATGTTTATTGAAAACTTTGGAGGTTTTTGTTTCTGGTTCTAAAATAATTTAAAAGTGAGATAGAAAAATGTGTGGTTTAAATTTTGTTATTTCAGAATTTTGTGCAATAATTGTGAACACACAAATATTTCTCTCAAGTCTGAAACATTAATTTTTCTTTTTTAAACATTTGATGTTCGTTAACATTTTGGATTTACCATAGAACTGGTTTATGTTTAGAAACATAAAAATATATGGTTAATTTATGTTTATTGTTCACAATAAACATAATTTATGTTTATTGTTAACAATAAATATAAATCTCAAAAATGAGACATGCCTAATAACTGTCCAGAGGTTCATGTGTAAAATGTTGCTTAATTAAAGCGAAAGCCATGAGGTGACTTTATGAATATTTGAAGATGCCAAATTATCCTGTTATGTCACAATGGATACAGCGTGAAATATTTTTCACATCCCCCATTTTCCACTTTGTTCCATGACTTATACTATGTGTTGAAGCAACTCAAAGGTTCATCACTAAGAAGGAGAGAATCACATAATCCTTAGATTCTCTCTGTTCTGAAAAATAAGCTGACCAGCAGCATCTCATGTAAAGGATGATAAAAAAAACAACTTGTTAAAGCACTGAGTGCATTCAAAAGATCTGCAATCAGAATCTGAACATAAAGCTCAGTCCTTTAGGGACTTTTGCTTTGGAAATCCCCCCTTAATCATATGCATATTGCTTAGATAAAAGTTGTCAGCTGCGCTTTGTTTACTTGGTCTTAAATAAAGGATCTGAAATCACACTGGCCCCATGAACTCTTACCACCACCAAAAATGTAGCATCTTTTTTCAGACTTCAAATTACATTTGACATCAAAACAGAACTTATTTGAATCAATGAGCGGGCTTCAGAAGAAAGCGCTTCCTCTCTTGCTTAAAAATCAGGTATGAAGTTCAAGTCTCTTCTTGTGTGGCTTCTTCTTTCCAGGTTATCGCTTTCACATATCAAGATGTACAAGAGCTGAAGTGAAACCAGGGTGAAAACCGGGGCCGGGGGTCATGTCTTTTTTTTTTTTTTTTTTTTTTTTTTTTTGAACAGATGAAGACAGACTGACAAAAAAAAAAAAAAGACAAAAAACAAAACAAGCAAATGCTTTAATGAAGCCTTGTAATTTTAATGTGAAAATTTAAGAGATGTGTTTATTTTAGTAGAAATTTCAAAGTTTGTTGGTCACAAAGTCTAAGTTTGTCTAAGTCTAGAGATTTGCTGCTAACAAATAACGTCAGCTGTCTTTCAATGTACTTTAGTCCAACTTCTGGGATGGCACTGTCCGTGGTACTGGAGACTCAGTTGGACCTTGTTGTTGTGTAAAAAGATAAATATTGAAAGATACTGAAAGAAGATACTTAAGTAAAATAAACCTAACATGCTTGTTTGGGTTGGTAGCATCCACCGACATCAGGACTTCAGATTTTTTAGCATTTGAAAATGTGATCAGTACATTCGTGCATATGGTCGTTCCTAACAAACAATTACTTTTGTTTATCAACAAATTGAATTGAATTGAATTGAATTGAAAGCTGTAAGAGGTGGCTGAAAACAAAGCAGAAGCATCAACACTAAGCACAGCATCATCTGTAGAGAAGAGCTTGTCGTCTCTACTAGAGGCTCCAATCACAGAATCAATACTTGGAAGCACCTCTAAGCAACAACCTTCCTCCAACTCGACAGCCTTTCTCAGAAAAAAATATTAAATATCCTTCTTAAAAAAAATTAAAAAGGGCCAAGTAGCCTATATTTTACAGAATAAATATTTCCACACTTGACAAGACCAAATAGTTTTTCTAATACCACTGATAGGTTCTTATTAAAAGGAAAAAGTCAAACTTTTCTAACTAAAAGCTTGAAAAACTAATTTAATGAAATACACCAAGACAGTTTCTGTAGAATAGAAACTGAAAAGTCGAGGTAGTACGCCTTATTACAGAGTATCGATTGAAATGCAATGACTGTCAACTTTATTAATTGACTGCATATGGAGTCCAGATTTCAGTAGTGACTTTAATTAACTGACAATGTCTTAACAAAAATTGTTCTTGTATTTATAACTCGCTGTGAGAATTACTGGAAGCTTCATCATTACATTGCAAGAATTTGGGGCAACACACCTAAAAGGCGGGGAGACCACTGTGGTAGGAAATGCTCAATCATTGTATAGTTTAAGATAACCAATCAGATCTCTCTAAGGAACATAAGACCTCCTTCTGTAACTTATATATGAAAAATTGCTCCTATGAAGACATTGTCAGGATGATTGAGTTTTTGGTTGTACTGCTTCTTCTTCATCAAGGATGTAAGTTCCTATACTTTGGTAAATAGGTGCTGTTTTCATTTGTACCTGTTTGGGGTTTCTGTTGCCCTATTACCTTACTCTCCACTTGTGGCTTTTTGTGACTCACTTGTTTATCATGTTGTTCTTTTTTTAAAATACAATGTAGGTACCTTGGTGCCAGTGACCACAGTTCCTCTAGGTGACCCAGCAACTTTTACATGTTCGCTTCCTGATGAAAAGCTGAACAATAACGAGCTTCACTGGTACAAACAGAATGCAGGACAGACGCTCAAATTAATCACAAAGCTGCGAAAGCATGCCGAACCTGCTTATGGGCCAGAATATTCTGCCTCAAGAGTGCGGGCATCAAAAAATTACGACACCAGCAGTCTGACAATTCTGAGAACAGTTCAAGAAGATGAAGGAATGTATCACTGCGCGATTATTGACTGGACAGAGAATTCTTGGCATGGGACCTATTTGTTATTAACAGGTAAACTTAAAATAACTGCTGAAAACTGGACTCTGTGTTCAAATATTTATTTTTATCATATAAAACGTCAGAAAATGTGAAAAATATATTGTCAAGAGGTTTTAAAAAATGTATTTCCCACAGCTTCATATACCTCATGAGAGCATTTGTCTCTGGTTTAACATTTTTTCCTACAGGGAGCATTATGACATTGTCTTAACTAGCATTATTGGATGTTTGTCATATGTCAGAATAGTTAGAATTAACAAAATCTGTGTTCTATGCTTCAGGAAACTCTGAAAATATACCAACGTACCAAATTGTACAAGAGGCAAAAGCGTCAGCTCCAGATCACGAAAGCAACTCTTTGACTCTTCAGTGTTCAGTGATGTCTGACTTCAACCACAATGCGTGTCCAGAAGACATCAATGTGTTTTGGTTCAAAGTCAAATCAGATCAGTCTCATCCGAATGTCATCTATGTTAATGGAGACAGAAATGATAAATGTCAAGATAAATCTGATTTCCAGAGGAGGTGCGTGTTCTCCAAGAACATCAGAGTGTCTGATACTGGGAAATATTACTGTGCTGTGGCCTCATGCGGAGAGATTTTCCTTGGAACTGGAGCAGAACAGAATCAACAACCTGGTATGATTTTAGAATAGAAAAAATAGATGCTAATAAAGTGAGTATTAGTAAAAGAGTATTTTTTAAAAGTGAGTATGTTTCTGTCTTTTTTGTATAGAGCAAACAAAAGACCCACAAGATAATGCACTGGTGATAATAACATGTTTGATCATTTCGGTCATTGTAAATGTTATTTTGATCTGCTACCAAACCCAAAAGGCAGCATGCAGACAAGTTAAAGGTAAGTTTTTTTTTATTTTTATTTTTATTTTTTTATTGAATTCGAATAGGTAAAATATCTTCATAGCCATTATTACTCAAACTGGATCGCAAAAACATTCAACTTGCTTGGGTTACATAGATCGGTCCAACACTACAAAATGTTTTACCAAATTGCATAAGCAGGTATATGGTTTGCAATGTGGTACCTGATTAGTTAAGAAAATAAATAATTAAACCAATATATAACATTACTAAATTCATTAGCTTAATGTGTCATTCATCTGTTTAAAACTCTTTAACATACCCTGCAGAAATTATAAAATGTTATACCAAGATTTAATGACACACAAGATTTAATCATTCTTTTTCTTGTACTTTTTCAAACAGTTTTATTGTTTTATTTCAAGTTCAAAATTCAGTACATCTTCTGTGTTTGAATGCAACATATTACTTATTGTCTTTATATTTAGGGACAAAAATCACCTCTTCAGCAGACACACATGATAACATAACTGAATCAGGAGAATATACTGTAAGTAAAAATTCATTTAAATATTTTCCAACAAATTCATGTGGCAATGTGAATATATATTAATCTATTTGTTTTCTGTAAAGGACAACGATGACCAGAATCTGGACTATGCTGCTTTGCAATTCTCTGGAAGAAAAAGCACACGAGGAACAAAAAAGAAACAGTCGTATGCTGAGGAAGATGTGTATGCACAAGTTAAAGTCTGAACAGGAAAGTCTGTGTGGGAACTAATAAAACCTCCGTCAGAAAGTATGATAAAAAGGGTGAAATTTTCATTTAGTGGCAGTTGTTCAAAATTCTGCTTCGCTGTCATAATCCAAACAGAGCTCTTCTATCCGTTGGTCAATTGCTTATAAACAATTCAGAGTGAAAACAGAAACGGCAAAGCTTTTTCTATGGGGACCCATAAGGTGCCTTTGAAAGTCAGAGCTGCTCAAACCATTGATAACTTTAAATATCTGCTACTTTTTGGGACATTTTTATGGCTTGCAATTCTACTTAAGCAGAACATCTCTGTGCACAAACGTTTTTCTGACATTTTTATTGATTATTTTGCTTGAGTTTTTGATTTCTTACAGTGTAAAACACCTTGCCTATTGTTGTTTGTAGATGTGCTATATAAGTAAGCTTGATATATGTTTATCTTAAACATTTATAATTACTATGACTGTATGAATGTATTGATAAAAAAAATAAAATAAAACAAAATGTGAGTGTATTGTTTCCATTTGTTAAGCAGTGACCCACAACTTATTTTCTAGTTTCAGAATAAAGAATGACTTACTTTTGAGTTACTTTTTTTTTCCCTGGACATACTAAACACAATAAGTAATATCAGATGACAAAATACAAAAATGTGCAATAGTATAGAAGTACATTCAAGTACTTAAAGGGTGTGGTGCAACAGTGACTACAACTTTTTGCTTCACAAAATATAAAGAAAAATGGAGCTGCCTTAGATTATAGCCATTGTAAGATTTCTCTTTTGTCTGTGGCAAAAGACCACAAGCCATTTCTCCCTCTAGTGTTAAACATGTGAGTCTTTGCTTTGGCTGTTTTTACCCACAACTATTTGAGCTTCCTGCTTTTTGAGTGGTCTGTAGTCCATATTTGCATAAAGTCACATAAACTTGGTCATTTGGTGTATTATTGATGTTTCTATTTTTGCAACAGACTTGACTTGACAGTGGCCATGAGAATTGACTCGATAGATTAGGATGGAAACTTGAGACTTGCAAAACAATGACTTACATTTCATATCTATCTATCTATCTATCTATCTATCTATCTATCTATCTATCTATCTATCTATCTATCTATCTATCTATCTGTCTGTCTGTCTGTCTGTCTGTCTGTCTGTCTGTCTGTCTGTCTGTCTGTCTGTCTGTCTGTCTGTCTGTCTGTCTGTCTGTCTGTCTGTCTGTCTGTCTGTCTGTCTGTCTGTCTGTCTGTCTGTCTGTCTGTCTATCTATCTATCTATAAAAATATATATATATTTTCTTTTTACACTGCTCTGACAGACTGCCACCGATTTGACAACAGTTGTTATGCTGATCTCAATCCTCTTTCCTTTTTCAACTTGTATAAGAGTACCACAACAATCAGAGCCAAGACTGCGCTCCAGATTTAAAGACATGATTTGAAGATGTGTCACCAGAGGTGTTTTAGTCTGTTAAAAGGAAAGATCAGCTCCACTGATAACAAGTTATCTGTTATCAGTGGAGGTCTATGTTAACCTATAACATAGATCTGAAACATTAGCAAATTTTGCAGTTGCAAAGATAGCAGAGCTTCTAAGATTTAAATGACATGCTGATGTTACTAGGGATTTAAATTTAAGGGTCAAGACTAGAACAAAACTAAAAAAAAGTTTATTGAAGGATGAGCTAGTAGCAGAGGAAATGAACTTTCCTCTGCTCCTTGATTATATTTTGGTATGACCAATCAGATGCATCGAGCGTTTTGAATACCACGCCTCCTTTTTTCATTTAAATATCATCAACTGGCCAAAAAAAGACATTGTGAAGATGATTTTCTTGTGGCTTGCACTGCTCCTTGTTCATCAAGGATGTAAGTTATTTTTAAAGTAAATAAATATTTTAGCAATTACTTTTCTCTGTATGATTTAATTTTGTATCCTTTGTAATTTTTACTTCATTCTTGTTTTTTATTTCTTTATTTCTTTAGGTACATTGGTTCCAGTGATCACAGTTCAACTCGGTGAGCCTGCAACTTTAACCTGTGCTTTGACAAATGAATGGTTGGGTATTAAAAGTCTCCACTGGTACAAGCAGAGTGCAGGTGATACTCTGAAAGTGATTACAATGCTGCGTAAAAACACCGACCCTAAGTATGGACCGGGGATGTCGGGCTCAAGACTGAAGACAACATATCATGAGAAAATCACCAATCTGACAATTCTGAGGACAACTAAAGAAGACGAGGGATTCTATCACTGTGCGATCCTTGACTGGACTGAGAATATCTGGAGATCGACCTATTTGTCAATAAAAGGTATTCATTTTACTCTTAACATATTTCTTCTGATGGGAAGTAAGGGTAACATTTTATGGTGGCCCAAGTTGAGAACCCTGACTTTAATAGAAAATCTGCAGATGGAGATAAATATTACGATGATGGGATGAGAATTTTTTAACCTCATAGACGGGGAGTTCAAAGATAAATTGTCAAAATACCCGTTGAAACATCCAAAACACTGATCAGCAATAATAAAAAAGCTTTGGTAACAGAGAAGGTTTTATATCACGTGTCTTACTCAAAAATGAACAGTTATGTCGACCAAATCTGGTACTTTCATAACTTTTTATGTCGTCTTCTAAACTCTGGATGGACACACAGAGACTTTGAAAAAATCAAAGCAATTTTTATCTATATATTGTCACATAGCATTGATGTGATAAGATGTTCAATATTATTTAGTTTTACTAATCAAATACAGAAACAGCAGTTTATTATTATAAATTATTAGTAACCATTAGCTAATGATAAGTTTATCACAATTGACCCTTTCAGGACATTTGAGACCTTAAAATTATTTTGACACATTGTTTTATATGCTTTTTTTAATGGCATGTGAACAAAACTATTTTTTTTTCAAAATTTAGACATTTTCTTTTTTTTTTTAGAGATACCATTCTAGCTACTTATAAGAAAATTAATTGTTTGAATAAAAATAAATTAATATTAAGCAATTTGCAACAGCAAAAGTGTGAGGATGTGATTTTTCTATGTGTTAATTTAGGTTTCTGTGTTCAGTTGAGTCTCTGTATTGTCCTGCCTTCCCCTTTATTGTCTCCAGCTGCCTCTTGTTTCCCCTTGATTGCTCCTGGTGTACGTAACTCCACTTGTGTCTGTGTTCCTCTGTTGGGTCCTTGTCGAATGTGGTTGGTCTACGCTACGTCTTTTTTCAGTTCTCGTTGGTTTATTTTTGCGCTACTTGTTACCAGTGTTAGAATACCTTGTCTTAATGCTCACCTGTGCTGCCTGGACTTTCTGTAAACCTTCATCACCTTTAAATCTTAATTTTCTCACTACAATCTGGCTACACTGTGTCTACCTCACCTGTTACTGCAAATCCTGACAAAAAAGATGTAATCTTTTTACAGATTGTGCTTGTGTAAAATTGAAAAACACAAATGTGCATTACATGAACAGTAAAAGTTAGCTTATAGTCTGATTTTATTTTTTAAATGCATTTTTAATATTCAAATCCTTCACTCTTGAGTGTTACCGTTAATGTTGCTAAACATTTTTTACTATGCAGGAAACAAAGACGAAACAATGAGCTACACAATTGTGCAGCGATCACGACCAGCAAATATAGCCAGGTTGGGAGATTCTGCAACTTTGGAGTGTTCAGTTCTCTCTCACTCCAAGAATAGGTCTTGTCCAGGAGGCCTCAGTGTGCTCTGGTTCAGAGCCAGATCACAAAAATCTCTCCCTGAAATCATTTTCATGGATGGAATCACCCAAGACAACTGTACTTGGAAACATGGCAGGAAATGCGTTCACAGCTTCTTTCACAATGTCAGCAGCTCAGAGTTTGGTACCTACTACTGTGCGATATCCATTTGTGGAGAAATATTATTTGGAAATGGGACTGCTTTTGAAGCTGGTAAGAATATTTATTTTTTACATAAATTGTATTACTAATTCAAATTGTTCCTTAAAAACCTATTTGTTCCTTTTATTTTCTAGAGAAATCATCAGACTCAACATTTATCATTCTGGTTACAGTAGTAATTTGCCTGATAATTTCAGCTGTTTTGCATATTACCATCTTCTGTCACCAAACCCATAAAAAAGCAAAAAAACATAGTAAAGGTAAGCGTCATTTATTGAATCTAATGTTTTATATATATTCTAGCAAAAAAATGAGATAAGAGTTTACTGTGAATACCTTTCTCATCTTCATAGACTTGGAAGTGTTTAAAGACAGCAATTTTAGAACTATAAGATGCAATTTTTAGTGAAACATTACTGGTCTTGTTTCATTTTATTCATTTTATTTTAGACATAACATCAAAGCATGATGATTTGGGCCAACAAGAAGATAATAATGTATGTAATCATATCAGTCAAATACATTTTTATTCACTTAACTTTTTGTTGTGGAAACATGAGCATTATTACTGCAATTTATTTATTTTGTGCAGGGTGACATTGAAAATGCTGTGAACTATGCAGCGTTGCATTTCTCAGGAGGGAAAGCAAAGAAAGAAAAGAAGAAACCAACGGATGAAAGTGTGTACTCGCAAGTTAAATTTTAAATACAACTTATTGCCTATGTAGTACGCTTTAGAGATTCAATTTGATGGCATGTAAATACATTGTGTGAAATGTGCTTTTTATCTTTAAAAGTCTTCATGCTATTAATTTTTTTTTTTTTATTTTAGAAAATATTTTTATAGTTTTTCTTTTGACTTTTTGATATATTTGAATGCTTTTTTCAACAATGTAACTCAGAAATGCCAATGTTTTACAAATCTTATTCTGGAGGAGATTAAAGCAAAAATGCTGAAATGCTTTGCAATTCTTGGTGTGAAAATGACCTCAGTGCGAAGGATGTGGGTTCCAGCTTCTTCCTGTTTGATGTCGATGTGCCCCTCAGCAAGGCATTCAATCCCAAGTCTCCTGCTGATCTGTGAATCAGTGTTTGTGTACATTGATGAGTGGGAATGGGTTCATGTGGTCAGTACGACCAGAGAAACCCAGTGCACATTAATTCCATTTCGCTCTTGAAATGCATATATTTAGTGAATAAACTAAGTGCAAACAGTACTAAATGTTACTGCATCACAATTTACTTAGTTTCCCACCAGTTCCTGAAACGTTGCAGACTTACACAGTCAGGCTACAGAAGACAAGCAGTCTGTCATCATTGTTGTGATATAGAGAGATTAAACTTGTCACTCAAAGCTTTTAAATCTCTGAGCAAGTTGCTACTAATTTCCTCTTCCTCCTCACACTAAACAATTTGCTATATAAGTCTTCACTTTGTTAGCACACATCTGAACAATTGCCTTTATGTCTTTTTTCTTTGCCACCTTGTTGTGTGTAACAATATGTAACGCTACGCTCAGTTTTTGGTTGTTCTCGGCTGCCACGTAGCGGCTTTGTTCATTTTATGCTTCATCTTTTTGTTTCAATATAGGCGTACAAATTTTTTAGCTTTCATAAATTGCAAAACTAATGCAATTTTAAAATTATTAGTACCATTTTTCCCAATATATATTAAAAATGTCAATTTATCTTACATGAAAAGGTTAGTTTTGTTCAACTAATAATTTTGGTTTAACATAGATATTTATGAAGAAGGTCCCTGAATGGTACTATAATTTCTGATTAACTTTGATTAAATTTTCTAGTTAATAAATTTTTTTTCACGTCATCCCCTTTATTTTCACACTATAGAATTAAAGAGTCATAGATTAACCTCACAGTCATGTTGAACTGAAAATATATTAATATTAATTGTTTTCTTTGTCAGAAAACAATTTGAAATAACTGCTTTATGAATTAACAATCGAAGATAACATTTGAATCAGAAACTTTATTGAATTTTAATATTTGAGCCATTTTCAAAAAACATTTTTGCATAGAAGAAAAATATCTGATCTAAAATAATGGTGAAGGTTTTTTAATGAACTTGCAAATTGCATGATCAACAATACTTTACAATTTTTTTTCTTCTGATGAATCAAATAAATCAATACCAAAGAGCATCGAAAAAGATTCTATATTGCGCATACAAATGACATAAACCAAGCTGTTGCCAATTTTCTTATTCTAACTGGAAATTGATGTTTACATTTACAATAATAATAATAAAAATAAAAACAACTATTAAATTCTGAACGAAATTTAAAACAAATGCAGATTCAGAGTAATAAAATACAGGTAGCTGTGAAGATTAATGTGAAATAAATTCAATCGGGAGACTCAGATGAGAATGAAAGCGATTAGAAAAGTTAGTTAAGTCTTTGGCGCTCGGGCCCCGGCTAAGGACATCGAGCTGACGCGATAAGCTCGGATGAGCATTCCCGATGCTGATAGGAATGACATCCCTCCGGGACCCGGCCTGGTGTGGTGGAGGTCAGTGAATGAGTATGCCTGGGAGCCTGGACGATGGAGGTGGAGAAGGGGTGGAGGTGGGCTGAACGCAGACTCGGGAGCGTCTGATGGGAAGGAAGGGTCGAGGACACGGCAAAGCAGCTGTACGCAAGGAATCACCAAGAAAGGGATCCGCTGGATGGTTTGCTGGGAAGCTGGACGTGCGACTGAACGTGTTGAGCGCAGCAGCGAAACGGGAGGCACTTTGGATGGACGTCCATATGAACTGAGGCGTGGTCGGTGATTGGCTGCGACATGGCTAAGTCTAGCGATGATAGGTCGTCAGTGATTAGCGGAAGCGCCTACTGAAAGCTGCGGGAGGGCTAAAGAGTCTTCCAGATTGAATTTACGCCTAGGCTTCATTTCAATCGGGAGAGACTCAGATGAGAATGAAAGCGATTAGAAAAGTTAGTTAAGTCTTTGGCGCTCGGCCCGGCTAAGGACATCGAGCTGACGCGATAAGCTCGGATGAGCATTCCCGATGCTGATAGGAATGACATCCCCCCATAAAGGGAGGCTGAGGCCGGGGCCGAGGCCGAAAGTGGGAAAGTAGAGAAAACGGGATGAGCTAAGCTAACTCAGGATTACAGGCTGGGACCATGTGAAGCTTTTAGATGAAGGCCAGTGAGGGGACACCACAGGGAATAGAATGGCCCGTTGATTCATCTACCGGGAACTGGTAGATGAAGGCCAGCTAGGAACGAGGAGGGCGCAGGTTGCTGCTAGATAAAAGGCGGCAGAGGGCACGGCAGCGTGAGGGAAGATAAATGCTGGTGGATGAAGGCCAGCTAGGGAAAGCCAGCTAATGAAAGCAATTAGAAAAGTTAATTAAGTCTTTGGTGCTCGGGCCCGGCTAAGGACATCGGGCTGACGCGATAAGCTCGGATGAGCATACCTGATGCTAATAGGAATGACATCCCCCCAAAAAGGGAGGCTGAGGCCGGGGCCGAGGCCGGAATTGGGAAAGTAGAGAAAACGGGATGAGCTAAGCTAACTCAGGATTACAGGCTGGGACCATGTGAAGCTTTTAGATGAAGGCCAGTGAGGGGACACAACGGGGCGCAGAATGGCCCGTTGATTCATCTACCTGGAACTGGTAGATGAAGGCCAGCTAGGTTGCTGTTAGATAAAAGGCGGCAGAGGGCACGGCAGCGTGAGGGAAGATAAAATGCTGGTGGATGAAGGCCAGCTAGGGAAAGCCAGCTAATGAAAGCAATTAGAAAAGTTAATTAAGTCTTTGGAGCTCGGGCCCCGGCTAAGGACATCGGGCTGACGCGATAAGCTCGGATGAGCATACCTGATGCTAATAGGAATGACATCCCCCCAAAAAGGGAGGCTGAGGCCGGGGCCGAGGCCGGAATTGGGAAAGTAGAGAAAACGGGATGAGCTAAGCTAACTCAGGATTACAGGCTGGGACCATGTGAAGCTTTTAGATGAAGGCCAGTGAGGGGACATAACGGGGCGTAGAATGGCCCGTTGATTCATCTACCTGGAACTGGTAGATGAAGGCCAGCTAGGTTGCTGTTAGATAAAAGGCGGCAGAGGGCACGGCAGCGTGAGGGAAGATAAAATGCTGGTGGATGAAGGCCAGCTAGGGATGTTGCGCAGCTAAAAATGATAAAATGCTTGGAAGTAGAAGGCCAGCCGGGGACGTTACGTGTGAGGGATGATGGGGAGCTGGTAGATGAAGGCCAGCCGGGGATGTTGCGTGCGAGGGATGATGGGGAGCTGGTAGATGAAGGCCAGCTGGGGATGTTGCGTGCGAGGGATGATGGGGAGCTGGTAGATGAAGGCCAGCTGGATGTTGCGTGCGAGGGATGATGGAGAGCTGGTAGATGATTTTTTTATTTATTTATTTTTTTTATTGTTGCGTGCGAGGGATGATGGGGAGCTGTTAGATGAAGGCCAGCTGGGGATGTTGCGTGCGAGGGATGATGGAGAGCTGGTAGATGAAGGCCAGCCGGGGATGTTGCGTGCGAGGGATGATGGGGACCTGGTAGATGAAGGCCAGCTGGGGATGTTGCGTGCGAGGATGATGGGGACCTGGTAGATGAAGGCCAGCTGGGCCTTCATCTGGGAGCGGCTGATGAGCGGCTGGTGAGCGACTGATGAGCGCAGACTCGGGAGCGTCTGATGGGGAAGGAAGGGTCGAGGACACGGCAAAGCAGCTGTACGCAAGGAATCACCAAGAAAGGGATCCGCTGGGATGGTTTGCTAGGAAGCTGGGACGTGCGACTGAACGTGTTTGACGCAGCAGCGAAACGGGAGGCACTTTGGATGGACGTCCTTATGAACTGAGGCGTGGTCGGTGATTGGCTGCGACATGGCTAAGTCTAGCGATGATAGGTCGTCAGTGATTAGCGGGAAGCGCCTACTGAAAGCTGCGGGAGGGGCTAAAGAGTCTTCCAGATTGAATTTACGCCTAGGCTTCATTTTTCTTAATATTCAATTATGATATGCAACAACTTCTGTACTATAAAGCAACTAATTGGGACATATACAGAGGATACAGTACTAAACAGGAAAAAGCAAAACAAGAAAAAAATCATTTTAATCATCTTCTTACCAGAAATGACCTAATATTCTTAATGTTTTTTCAGCAGAAAGGTGATCAAAAAGACACATTATTAAACTCTTCAATATCTGTGAGAAATACTTCTGCATGCTGTCCAGTTGTACAAAACAATTTCTGTCATTTCAAATTCTTTTGTTTATACAGGTGATTACAATAGGAGTGGACCGTGTTAGCAATAAAAGTAAAAATACAGACATTTTAAAAAAGACGAGCAGTACTCGTTAATTAAAACTGTCAAGCAAAGCAACATACCTTCAGTCATAAAATCTTCCAGTATAGTATTTTACCATAGGTTGACATATATGTTGAAGTACTCTACATAGAGAGGTATACCCAATTATTGAAATCAATATTTATTGATGATTAGACTTTAATTTCAGAGTAAAAGCACTCCTGCGGTTCCACTTTTTCCTTCTTGCCTCTACGTTTTTCCTTACGTCTAGAAAAGTCCAAAGCAGCATAGTTTTTGTTTCCACTGTCAGTCTGTGGAGCAGATGAAAATAAAATTATGGTATTTACCCATTGAATAAAACACAAGGAAATCAAAGCAAAAAATTACTGTACATCAGTGTATTTTACGTACAGGATCAGGTATTCTCTGTCTCAGTCTGTGCGATGCCTCTTGTGAAGTGGTGCTCTCCGTCCCTGACAC